CAGGTGGCTGAATTTTACGGAGACTTGCCACGGTCTCCAACCCTCCTCCTTTCTCAACCGGGCTTGGGACTGGCCATGGCGGAGTTTTATTGAAAGAGTAACCTTTAAAAATTTTTCTTTATCTGCTCTTCGGTCTGCTCAGCTATGTTTACAACCTGGTAAGTGTTGTATTAAGGAGTAATTATGACTGACTGTTGAATTGTACGGAGTAGTGTTGTCTTCGAAGCACAGTGAAAGTTAAATGACAGGGATGACTCCGCTCTCATGCAGGCACAGGTGGCGCAAATTGGATAGGAGCGCAAGAAGAAAAAATCGTTTTTTCTGCAAGAAACTGTTTTACCACCAAGCATTTGCTCATTCCATGCAGTTGCTGTATTCGGCAGCTGAAACAGAACGAACCTAGCCCAGAGTCGAACGTGCAACGTAAAAAGTAATGTAGATATGAATCTGCGGTGCAGAATTCATTGCCTTATAGTAAAGTGTTGAAATGCTGCAACCACAGCGAATATCATGAAGCAGAGATGCGATAGACTGCTTACGCAGATGTTGGCCTGTGCACGCTCGGACATACGCTCGCAATTCACCTGCACAAAAGAAAGCTTGCAGCCTCCGGTGCCTTGTGTACATATGAGGTATGTCCATTTAGTTTTTAATCGCATTCGGTGATTAGATGGCCCATTTTCATACGTTCGCTGTACATTCCACATTGATTCAGCTTCCGTAATTTTCACCTGTGCCTATGCTGATCTTACCCTTGTTGCACTTCTACATTTTTCCACATCTTTGTGCAATTAGCAAACGATCAGATGTTTTCTGGCTAGTAGACATAAGTTTGAAAAGTCTCATGGTTCTAAATCAGTTGTTTAGCTGTACAGATTGCTGATTTCTAAAAGTTGGTAATTTTCGCCGATGACTTGCATTATCTCCTATTTTCATAAAATGCTCTATATTCGCATTTCAATTTCAGTCACAAGATTTAACATAAGACAAAATTTAACTTGCGGGTAGAACAAAACATTCAATTCAACTGGCTTATTTGGAACTTTAGGCAAATAGCCTGTTATACCCTATGTATGAATTAATAAAATTCTTGGTGCGAATGAGTAATCACTCTATTCTGGGATTGCTATAGGAACGAAATGGCTGAGAGTCAATATCGTCCGTAGTTTGGCGAGTATACTTTTCTAGTTCGTCCCAGTGAAGTGTTATTGTAAGCTTTGGTTT